ACACCCACCCTAGTATAAGTGTGAGTGTGGATGTGGGTGTGAGTAGGTGTGAATGTGGATGAGTTATGGATGGTAGGTGTGAGGATGAGTGTGGATGCCAGGACGGGTGAAGAAAAAAGCCGCACCCATACTCACTCATACCCACACCCGCCCACACTCACATCTACACTCTAATTTTGAAAGATAATCAACATCATTGTTTGTGAGTCGATTAATATATATAATAGTTCATAAGATTTGATATAGATATCATGGATATGTAAAACAGACGTATTTGCCAATTAATTCAATGATTATAACAAAAAGAATGTTAAATTAAAAAAAAGCGAATTAAAAAAAATCAAAAATAGCGAGCGAATAGAGCATCAGTGCAAACAAAAATAGGGCACCTGTAGAAAAATAAAAAAATTTCTGTTCGAAATGCAGAAATTAGAAAGATTCTTGCTCTGATGTTCGATTATCCTGCAAAACAGCTATAGTTTACGAGAAATTTTTCATTCTATGTATTTTGTATTAGTTTAAACCGACTAAAGAACATATGTGAGCTCTACATTTCAGCCCTAAAGGGGCTGCGCTAATTCTAACATGTTTATACTTTTTGTTTCTATAAATGTATATTTATCAGCTTCGCTTAAAAAACAATTTTCTGCTCTCTCTAACACTCAAGACGGTCTGTGCTTGAATAATATAAAATTCTAGTAACAGATGTATGTCTGCAGTGATCAAGTTCAATTTTTTTTCGTTCACATTCTTCTCTTTTCGCAACCAGTCAACTATGTGATTGTGTTCATAACTAAAGAAACATAAAATATCTCTTATGGATAATGATCTAACAACAAATTTTCATCGACTGCCATTAAATGTCGATAATGATCAGTTTAATCGAGAATCTTATTCAGAAAACGATGAATAAATTACGAGTTTAATACTTGAAAGTCATGCCAAAAACTAAAAAAGCCAATTTTTTCTATTTCATCGTATGAAATAATGGCCTTTTCTGAGTGTGTTTTTTATCCTGTGAAAAATTATCCCTACTAGGAAATATCAATCAATCATATTTTGAGTGATTTAGCATATTTTATAATAAAGATACTGGTCCTGTGAAATTTTCTTTAGTGATGGAATATAGGCTGTTTTTCTTAACTGAACTAGTGTAGAAAAATAAAATCGAAGTCTATTAATAACATTAGCAGCATAAAAAATGACTTTTATAAAAAAAACTATATCGTTGGAAGTAGCAAAAAATATGAATTTTTTAAGGGACATAATAGAGGAACTTGCCTCCCCCCCTCCTTGTAACTTGTGAACGATAAGATAGAATAAAAGACCTGGGGTCTTCCAACTTGTCGATGACTTTATATGTCGTCCTAATTATAACAGATTATCTTTTTAATATTATGCAGTAATATTAGAATAAGAGGGTGGGTGCGAATGAGTGTGGTTGGGCATGGCTGCATATAGGTAAGATGGAGGCGAAGACTCACACCACCCATAAGATTCTACGAAAAGCAACGAGAACACCGAAACACTGACGAACTCATTCATTTTGAGCTATAGAAAACTATCGAATATGCACATCAGTAATTAAACGAACGCTATATTTAGTGGAATTTGCATAGTTTAGTTTATTATTTGTCTCTTAGTGAAAATAAACATATAAATTTCTCTACATATCCTAATCTTTGATTTCCAAGTACGATAAAATCATATATTTCTTTTTTTTCTTTTCGTTTCAGATCATCTCTGCTTTACCCAGAAAAAAAGATGTAACTTCCAAACATTTATTATTACAAAAACAACAAATTCAAACAAACGAAGAAAATGATCTTGCTTTTAATTCATTTGTCGTATAAGTAAACACTTTTTTTATATATTCATCTTTTATTGAACGATTTTCGTACATGATTTATTAAACAAAAGTCAACAAATTAGTCAAGAAAAGATCTTTCAGAAAAACAAAACTTTATGTATAAGTCCTTAACTATTCTTCAAAAAAAATAATAACAACAACAAAAAATTTTATATTGATGACAAAATACTGTAAATGACATCTAATATTTGAGTATTATTTTTCAACCATCGATCTTCTTGTTTTCTCATATTTGCAAGTAAAACAGTAGATAGTTCTGATAATTTCCATGTTTGACCATCATATGTCACTAATTGCCACTGGATTGCTGTTGTTAAGAATCCATACACCAATTTTTTATCATTATTTATATCATACATAGATTTTAATGCCAATAACAGTTGAGTAAGTTCTTTTCCAAGTGAATCACCTTTTGTTTCGACGACGAGTACATAACAATTCTTCCCAACATTGATCTTTTGAATTCTGATAAATTCCATGTTTCCACCAAATTGTTCGTCCTTACGGATGATCTTTTTCTCTCGTGATAATCTTAAGTCATCATGAGCCACAGTAAGTTTAAAGTAAGAAACCATTGCTATCAAAATCATTCCAACATTGTCTGTCACGACCAATTCATTGAATAAAGGAAGTGCTGGCTCTGGAAATCCTTCTGATATAATACAATCGATTAATCGTTCAAATATTTTTTTCTTCAATTGTTCTGGTGCTGTTGTTGTAATAAATTGTTCAATCGGCATTTGAGAATCATAAAATTTAATGAGTTGAAATCCAAGTATTGATTCTGCTTCTTCTGGAGAAACATTTGAAAATGAAGTAATGTATTTTCTTTTTCGCTTTGAAGATGCTTCTGTGCCAGCCATTTAATGTAAATCTAAACAGCAAAAATAAAAGATTAACCTGTCATTTTGAAAATCCTCTTATCACTTACAACAATTACCAATATTATAATATATTCGTTTCAAATTTAAAAAACAATATTTTTAATCGTCTTAATCGATAAGATTTGTTATTCTTCTTCGACTGTCAAAAACAATAACTAATATAGTTGAGAGAAAGAAAGAAACTTTTTTTCTTCAATGAATCGCATATCAGTGTAGACTAATAATTCTTACTAGTGATAGAGGGTGCTAATGTCCGATAAGTTGCGGTCATCTTTCCGGATACACAAATGTCCTATTTAGTCTAATAAGATTTGACAAACCTTAATTTTCTTGTTCATCTTCGGTCAGACTTCTGTTACTTCTTCGGTGTGCTTTTGAATGAATGTTTATTTTCATTAGATTGAAAATAAAATGTTCGTTTTGTGTATTTCTGATCAACGGACAATTTTCCTTCGGTTTTCTGAGAAAATTAGAATGAAATCTTAATCAGCAATGCTTTTTCATAATGTAAGGCACACATATTTAGTTTGAATACTTTCATTTTTTCTTATGAATTGATTTAGAATTCATATGATATGATTACTTTTTGGTTATGTTAGGAGCAGGTCCGTAGTCAGGAACTTTTTAAAGAGAGGTGCACATCAGCGGAAAATTTTTTCTCAACTCTTAACAATGTTTTTCATCTGTATCCCCTTCAAGTGTTTATTAGTAGTTCACATAACTAAAAAATGATTATTTTATTCTTCATAATTTTTTCACTAATTTAGAATAAAATGAATTGAAAGAATATATTTTATTTTTGTTTGTATGTTAACAAAATATAAAATCTTCTTTTCTGATTGAGGAAAATAGGTCATCAGTCTCGAATTTTTCAATAGAAGATAGATTATCATTATTATTTTAAAACTAAGTTTTTCATTTTAAAACTTGTTCAAGTGAGAAGGAAGTTGAAATCTATTTTTGGAAACATCTACACATCTATACAAGTCAATAAATCATATTTCTTCTTGATATCATGCGTTTTTCAATGAAGATCAGTTATTAATCATAGATATTGATTAGAAAATCATTTATGAATGATCATGGAGACTTTTATTTTAATACAAACAAACAAACAAACAATTTAAATGTAGACGAAGGTTTCTATGGAAATAAGTGAAATAAAAAGAAATATTTCATCTTTGCATATATGACAAATTCATTTGTCTTGATTAGTGGTGGTACATTTACTTTACTTTTTCAAAAAGTAAATAAGTAAAGTAAATAAACTATTTACTATTTACTAAAGTAAAATAAATAAACTATTGACTTCAGTAAAGTAAATATATTTACTAGTAAATAAAAATGTTTTTCTTGTATTCTGTCAAGGTATACAGAAACGAAAGTGTCTCATATGTATTCTTTTTGAAACTATTCTCCATGGTTGAAAGATGAGTATGACGTACAGGAATTGCTAGTCTGTTTATCTACACTCTGAATGATCGGTAAAACGAAATTACGTTTCTACATTCTAGAAGAGATATTTCAAGATTCTATCTTTTTCGTGAGTAGGTTTTTTTTAATGATTATTTTCAATCTTGGATCCACTTTCATCGAAACTCTATCAGTTGATCGGAAACCAAGAAGAATAGAGTTTTTAAAAAGAAATTGTCTGTTGCGGGTATTTCAAGGTACCGAGTTCGAATCTAATGTCCGTGTTCGTTCGAATTCCATTGATGGATCAGGAACAAGTTGAAATCAATAGTGGGTGCTGGTATTGAAGAACAGAAGGGTCATACACATCTACAAAGCCATTCCCCAGACATACAGCCATACCCACATACTCACTTTAGTTCTTCATTTTGAAATGTATATGAGATTGGAGTGCAAGAAACCGTTAGTGGATTTGTGATTTGGAACCAAATTCTCGATATTCTTGTTTGGATTTGATGGAAATTGGAGGCATCAATTTCTGAATATTCTTGGGACTTCGATTTCGATTTCGATTTCGATATGGAATTTTGATTTGTAGAAACACACAGAATTAGTTTGAAATTTGGTAACTTACATTGCTGAACAGAAGTCTTATCCCCTCGAACTCAGTCATCAATAAGGATGAGAGGAGTGAAATTTTGTATGTTTATATTACACTAGAAATGTATACCAGAGGCAGTAACATATCTTGATTGCTTGAAATGTAACGGAGTTATCAGAGATAACGTTTATTTTCATTCTGATCTCTGCAACCTAAGAAAGATTGTCTATTGAAGTTTGCTTTGTATCTTATCAGATACGTTATTAATTTTGAATATTTTTATGTGAAACTAAAGTCTAGTCTACTGACTTTCTTCGCTGAAAAGATAAGTTCATCTATCGAAAGACTAATGTCTTCGACAGCTCCACACTAATACAATAATAACCAATGTGTCATTGCTTTCTACTATAATATTCGATTCTGAAATTTTCCGGTAATAATGCTACTTTGTAAAAAAAAACGCATCATACTGAACCTTTTAAGACTCAAGATCTTGATACAATTTTGATGAATCATTCTTAAGTTCTAGTCAAAAGCCTTGAACTTGCAAAGTTTTCACCCACAAAACTGTGGAGCCTAAATAGATTTCAGAAGTTTTGGCTAAAACTTTATATGATTCAGAAAATGGTACCCAAATCTAGAATCTTGAGAGGTTCAGTATGACATCCTTCTTTTTGATAGCATGCTATGAAGAAAGTTTCTATGAATGTTTAAGATCGATTCATTGAACTATCATTGAGTTATGCTTCTTCAAAGAAAATCAACTGCATAGTACCATAAAGTGATGAACCAATTAATGTAGAATATTCTTTCCTTCCGAAGTTGTGAAGCTAAAAGCAAAAACTGCCAACCTCTATTATAACTGCGTTTCCTTGCAAGCAAGCGAGATTAAATATGCCACCGACAAACATTCCTGGTGAAGTGTATGGATACAAATTTTCATATCCATAGTCCTTATGGTGACTGAGATTTGAAGGGAGAAGGAGACTTTTGTTCAAAGATGCATATATTTATCGTCATTCATATATCTTCTTCGCTATAATGAAGTCATAATTTAGTAATTCTCATGCAATATTATAAACTTATGAAACTTTAAACGTTCCTGACAGTATGAATATAGTAGTAGCAAGTTAATAATAATGTTAGACGAAAAAACATTTTAGAGTATGTTGAGCAAGATGATCAACCTAATTATAAAACTTTTACACAATATATGGTATCTGAATTTTTGTTATCCTAACCAACGTCTCAATTCATTTCGGAAAGGAAAGTATCTTTACATTCTTCAATCTGCTTCAGTCTTATTAATTTATAGCTTTCAGTGGTATACCAGAGAAATTTTTTGGCGAATATGTCATTCATTATACTTTTTTTTTTTTGGTAATACCAGTTTTTAACTTGAAATTCAGTGTGTAGTAAAGTTCTTTTGTTCTAATAACTACACTGGCGAGTCCATTTGTGTATTTTCTGGATATACATGATGGCTTTCGAAAAAACAAACTCCGTTTGACTATAAACAAATTCTATATTTAAAATAAGCACAAAGATCTGAGCCGACTTTTGTACGTTTCAAACTTGTTTTGGAGTTTCTCTTTGGGTCTAATTTTCTCCTCGGATGAGTATCGGTATGGGTATGAGTTGAACGAAAAACACATTTATCCTCTAATACGAAATCGTCAATGTCAATCTAACTAAATCAACATTAGGAAAATTTATTTGCTATCTACGATAGTGTCTTTCTCATGTTCATTCTTTCATTTTCTTTCTTCATACTACTATTACGACTTTTTCTTTTTTTGTTCAATCGATGAGACTTTTAGCATTTTCCTTTAGTTCCTGTTGGTTTCTGTTCCACAGTTACAGTTTCAACGAAAATAAATCCTAGATTCAAATTCATCATTGTAGAGAAAGCTATGGACGACACTAATAGTACCTCGAAATATCTATTCTTGTGATCCAAAAACGTGGTTTTGTTTTTCGACCAATTAGAGCATGAAGATAGGGTCTATCAATTCTTGTTCTGCACACTCATCTTTCAAAGTTTAACCATAATACTAAGAGATTAGGCTTATTGGTGTATCCTAATACCTAAGCATTAGTATTACTTATAATTTGGATTTTAACATGGCACCCATAGAATCATCGTTAGTACTTCGTTAAAAAGTTTTTCTTTAAAAAGAAATTAAATACAAAGACTATTCACTTTATGTCATTCACTTAATCACTTATTGTTGATGAATTCAGTGTCAAACACTAGAGCTTAATCTGAATATTATTAGGTAAGCAAAAGCTACTTAGTAAGTGTTTATCATTAGGTGATGTTAAATGAAATAGTTCCCCAAACTATGATCAATCTTATGATTTTTAAAAAGGTAATGCTCGATAAAGGAATCATGTTGAGAAAGGAATAGACATCATTATTGAGTGAGATAAAACCATATTCTTCTATTCTATCTAAGCAGTAGGTAAATATAATACTTAATAATTACTATCAAATAATAAATATTTTATTTACTTTACTTTAGTAAATAGTAAATAAAATATTTAATATTTACTAATAAAATAAAGGTAAAGTGCCACCTCTAGCCTTGATTATTGAATATTACATAGTGGTAACGCGTGTCATTATTGACTGTGTCCATAATAGCAAGATATGATTTTTTTTTTCTTATAATCAAAAGACTATTTGATTAAATTTCATCGATTTGATCATGGATTTTTTTACTTGAAAAAACAGCATTTTGAAAAAAATAGTTAATATTATAATATAATACGAAATCACATATTCGTAGTCGTTTAGAAAATTATGAAGCACTTTAGTCCTGAATACTTTGTTAAACAGCATTAAAATCTGACTTTGACATCTAACGAGGAAATCTATCAACTAATTAAAAGCTTTAAGGCTAATATTTCGGTCATAAGTAGAACTTAGTGGGACTAGAGAAACCTTAGAAGGATTCTTCCC